GAGAGAGAGAGAGAGAGAGAGAGAGAGAGAGAGAGAGAGAGGAAGCGTGAGAGAGAGAGAGAGAGAGGAGGGACAGAGTGTGCGTGCATTCGCGCGTTGACATGTGTACAACCGGTGGTAGTATACATATCGTCAGGAGTTAATAATGACAAATTACTTTTGATACTTTTACGATCCTGATATCGTGTAATGTACAGGCAGTACAGACACCGTAGCCACAAAGTATAGCCACCGTGATAGCCTGGCGTGCGTGCGTGCGTGTGTGCGTGTGTGCGTGAGTGAGCACGTGCGTGCGTGCGTGTGTGCGTGCGTGCGTGCGTGCGTGCGTGAGTCTGCTGTGCTCAAAACCTATTTCTTTCCATCACACCGCTGCGAATTGTTCGCGTTTTACTGAGAGATTTAAGATGTAAGAGCAGTAGAGAGAAACCCCCCGCGTGCGCCCATTAGCTGCTACTGTAGGTGTGCCACTCACGTGCCTCTCACTGACTCTCTTACTCACGAACGTCCACCACTAAGCTATAAATCCGTGTACGCTTGCTTCTATCCCTCGAGTAAACAATCTTAAAATCGTCTCCCACTTGATCCATTAATCCTCATATGTTTTCCCCATCGAACCAACACTCCTAAACCGCTCCCCCAATCTACTCCATTAATCCCTATGTACGCTTGCACTCCTCGTAAAAACACTTCTAACTCCTTCGTCTCTCGTGTTTTTTCGCTCGAGGACCGGTCAGCCATGAATGAGAACAAATCGCACAGTATTCTGCGATACAACGCCATGAAAAACGCTCCACTACAAAACATCCCCTCTTGCGCGTGAGCGCTCGAGAGCAAATTCCATTAACGCACGTTAACTTGACGCGTTTTCATTATCGCGCAAACTTTTTCTCGTGAACAATCTTAGCTCTAGAGCTGCTGCATGAGGCCGCCGCTTGAAAACACAAAACACAAAAACACAAACATACAAAGCGAAGCAATTCTGCAGATTATTAAATTCAAGAAAAACAAAAGCACACATGGAATAAACGCACGCTACGATTATAACGATAACGACGACGATGATGTTGATGATAATGACGACAAAGAGAGCTTAAATCTCCGTTCAAATCCCAATCAACCAATCCCAATCATCGCCATCATCATCATCATCGTCGTCATCATCGCCATCATCATCATCATCATCATCATCATCGTCATCATCATGGCATGGACTTACCCTGGGGTGGGTGGCTGGATGCGGTGAGCGAATCGTGATGGTTTGCCCCTCGGCTGTTTTCCCGTCGTCGTCGTCGTCGTCGTCGTCGTCGTCTCCGCTGCTGCTGCTGCTGCTGCTGCTGATGATGGCTTCTCCTCTACCGTGAGTCGCGCCATGGGATTCACGAAGCCTGTCGGTTCTTCACTCATTATCTCCTCCTGCTGCTGTTGCTGCTGTTGTTGCTGTTGTTGTTGTTGCTGCTGGGTGTTGTTGTTGTTGTGGTGGTTGTGGTGGCGGTGGTGTTGTTCGGACGCGCGCGCACGCTGCAGTCGCTGAGTGTAGTACTGTATGCGCGCCTGCCGCTGCTGGTCCGTGTACGGGAGGATCTTCCCACTCCTCTCTCCTCCTCCTCCTCCTCCTCCTCCTCCTCCTCCTCCTCCTCCTCCTCCTCCTTCTCCTCCTCCTCTGTCCAGCAGGGAGAAGTCACAAGAGTCGCTGCTGTGTTCGCGAGGCGACGTGTCGCTGCACGTTCCCTCGCTCGACGCACTAGTTATCACGCTGCCCGACATGCTGGCCGATGTGTGATCCTCCTCCCTCTCCTGCTGCCGCTGCTGCTGCTGCACCACCTCCTCTTCCTGCTGCTCCTCCTCCTGCTGCTCCTCCTCCCTGTCCTGCTGCTCCTCCTCCCTCTCCTCCTCCTCCTGCTCCTCCTCCTGCTGCTGCTGCTGCTGCGTGTAGCTATCCATGGCAGCGTGCTGCGTGTGTATCGTCACGCTCAGCGCTGCCTCATTATTCCGCCTCGCCGCCTCCGCGCGGCAATCATCGCGCGGTGGCTGCTGCTGCAGCGGCGCTGGGGGCGGTGCATCATCGGTGCCGCACGACGCGTGGGCCACCGCGGGGGCAGCAGCTGTCGCAGCGTCCGCCACCGACACCGCCGCTGCCGCATCGCACCCCACATCCTTCAACTCCGCAGCCTCCCTGCTCGCATCCTCGAGCGTCCGGCACCGATCGCAGGCCGCGTCGCCGACGCTGCCGTCACCCGCGCCGACCGTTGCCACGGCGACCGCCGCCTCGCAGCCGACGTCGGTGGCGCCCCCTCGCGGCGCGTCGTCGCCGCACGCGACCGTGCGCGAGCGGTGGCTGGAGCAGCGGTCACACACAACGTCGCGCACGCGCCCCATCCCCACCGCGATCGTGCGCGTCTCCACGGCAACGCATCGCTCGCACGGCGGCGCCGCGGTGACGTCGTAGTCGCCCGTCGCCGTGGAGACGAGCGTCGTCGCCGTGGGGGCGCTACCAGCCTGCACGCCCGTCGACCGACACTTGGGTTTCACGAGACAGATGTCACAGTCCAGGTGACCGCTGGAGCCGTCGTCGCCGACGGCAACGTCCGCCGTCGTCGCCGACACCGTTCCCACGGCAACGGCGACCAGCGCCACTGCCGTTCCCACGGCAACGTCCGCCGTCCTCGTCGCCGTCGTCTCCACGGCGACGCACGCGGTCGCAGCCGCCGTCGTTTCCACGGCGACGTCGGCGGTCGTCGGCGCAGCGTCCGTCGCCACGGCGACGTCGATCATCTCGACGCTGCTGCTGCTGCTGCTGCCGGACGGGCGACCGGACTCTGTGAGAGATGCATCGCTCTTCACAGCTTTCTCCGTCTGCGCCGTGTTGCAGTCGCCGGGCCGCGCGTTGTTGCTCGAGGGAGCGGTTGTGTTTGCGTAGGTTCCACCTCGCTGCCCCCTGCTGCTGCTACTGCCACTGCCGGTATCTGTGTCGCCGCCCTCGCTAGCTCGCAGCGCACGCGCCGGGTCGTTAGCGTCGTTAGCGTCGCGCTTCATTAGCGGCCTCACCTGCGCGAGCTTACGCTCCTCCGTCGCCGTGTCGGCAAACGTCGTCGCCGCCGGCAACGGCTCAGTGTTCGTCTGCTTGTCCAACCCTCCTCCTCCTCCTCTTCCTCCCCCTCCTCGTCCTCCTCCCCCGTCCCGCTCCACGCACCGCTTGCACTCATAGACCGACTCGTCCCAGTTTTCCGTTTCCGTCGCGCGGTGTACGGTGGCGTGCTCTGGTGTCGCGCGGCGTCGATCGCACTCCGCGCACGCGAGAACCGGCGTGTTCGTACCGACCTCTGACCTCGCTGCGGCGGCGTCGGTCGCCGTGGCGACGTCGCGGGCGGCCGCGGCGCGCGTGTGCACCGTCCCCACGTCGCGCGTCATCGGCTTGAAGCTGAGCCCGACCGTGCGGCTGGGTTTCTTCACCTCGATGTCGGCCTGCACGCCCATGTTGCGGCACGCACGGTTCCTGACGGGCGAGCCCGGGGTCGCGGCGGGGTCAGCGGGCGAGTGCGTGATCGTGTGGTGCATGTTGAGGTGCAGAGCGGACGTGTGGTTTCGCTCCGGCTGCTGCTGCTGCTGCTGCAGCGAGGCGTATGCCGTCACGTCGCCATCACCCACGCCCCTGTCACGCGTCTCCGCCCGCTCACCACCAGGTGGCGCCTCCTCTGAAGACTTGTCGTCGTCGTCGTCCTCGTCGACTGGGTGGTCGCCGACGGCAACATCGCGGGTCGTGGGGGTCGTTGCCGCGGGCGACGGCGTCGTCGTCGTCGTCGTCGTCTCGCGCGCTCGCAGCTGTAGCGCTAGCAGACGCTTCTCCTCGCGTGTGACGTTCAGCCGCGCTCGCATCAGCGGCACCGATCGAACCTCCTCTTCCAGCTCCCGCATCCGCCGCAACGCCAGCGCCATCTGCTCCCGTATCGCCTCGAGCGGTGGCGCCCCCGCACGCCCCGCGCCGCCGCCGCGACCTCCCGACCCCGCCGCTCGTGCATCGATGCGCGCCACGTTGGCCGCGAGCTGGGATGAGGTGACGCCGGCGGTCGCCGCGGCGACGACGGGAGCGAACGGGAGGCTGGAGGCGACGCTGACATCCGAAGCAAGAGAACTCAGCGAGTCCGTCTTCTCCATCGTCGTCGTCGTCGTCGTGGCGACGGACACGGGCGCCACCTGCACGAGCCGTCGCCGTGGAAACGTGTTGCAGGATCCTCCCTCGAGCTTCGGCGGGCGCTGGGGCTGCTCCACGCGGCCAGGGGGCGCTGTCCGCACCGCGGGGGCGCCAGTGTGCGCGCCCGGCGGCCGGAACACCTCGACGAACCGAGGCACGGGTTCCGAGAACTCACGCCGGCCGTTCCTGTTGTCGTCGGCGGCGGCGGAACCTTGCGGCGGGGTGCGCTGCAACCGCCCGCTATCGCGTGGGGGCGCTGGCGGGGAATGCTGTGGGGGCGCTGGCATAGGCGTGGAATGCTGCGGGGGCGCAGGCGTCAATTCCGCGGACGGCGGGGAATGTGGAGGCGGTGCCGGCGTCGGCAGGGAATGTTTGCGCGGGGGCGGCGGCGGCGGCGACTGCGCGTCGCTGCTGTCGCTTCCCTCGCTGCGTCGCCGCACGCCCGCCCGCCCCGCCCCCGCCCCCGCCCCCGCTCCGTACATGCGCTGCAGCCCCACGCTGCGGTGTCCATACAGCGCCGCGACGGCCGTCACGTCGACCTTGAAGCGCCGCGCGATGTCCTCTAACTCCCGCGGATCCCCGCCCGCCGTCGCCGCCGCCACAGCCTCCGCCGCACGCTGACGCTGCAGCGAGTTGGTGCCGTCGCCGTGGCGACGCCGCGCCGCGCCGCGGTACGCGTGCACGTCGATGGGGAGGCGGCCGGGGGCGGGGCGCGATCGATCCGCCGCCCCCACGGACGCGCTGCGGGGGAGGAGGGAGAGCGGCGGGCGGTGCTTGTCCCGTGGCCCGCGTAGGCTGCCCCCGTACTCTCCCCCGCCCCCGCCGCCGCCACCCTCGCCGTTCCAGCTCGCGCTCATGCGGCTATCGTGGCTCCCCCTGCCGTCGACGCTCGACGAATCAGAGAGCTCGTGGTCGCGGAGTATCTCTTCGAAGTCTGCGACGACGTGCCGCCACGCCTCGCTGTCATCGAGGATGTCCGTGGATCGCGACGTGTCAGCAGACGACGACGACGGGGGCGACGCGAGCCGCGCCAACGCCATCTATGAACGACACACGGAAACTCTGTAAGCTGAGTGAGTGGAAGTATGAGGGGAGAGAGAGAGGGTAGTGAAAGAGTGGGCAAGGAGAGGGAGAGAGACATGGAACAGAGGGAGAGGGAAGAATGGGAGATGTCGACAGAGACAACATTATTACATAGTACGAACATTAATTATTGTTAATTGTGGATCCTAAATTTATCAGTCTGCTCATTCTGGAAATAAATTGCTATATATGTATATATATATATATATATATATATATATATATATATATAT